TTTCAAACGTCAAAAAGGAAACTGTCAGATAGATTTTTTTAGGTTGGTAGCAACGTAGACTTGTTCATAATATTGCTAGCATTGAAAATGTCAATTTTTATTCTCCGTTTGTGTATCTAATTAGTCAAGAGTCCCGTCTCTTATTTTATAATTTTATAGACTCTTTGCCGGTGACCCTAATTTTTTAACTTAATTTAATCTGTGATCGTTGCAATACAATAACACGAAGTAATGCATACTCTTTGTTAAATACTCTTTGCAATATAACTGACCGGTTCATGTTGTGCTTATTGTTTCACTTTTAAGTAAAATTCAAAACAAACCTGGATTTTAACCCTGTGTAATATAATAAAGTATTAATTTTGCAATTTCAATTACCCAACAATGAAGAAGCAACTAGTTATTTTATTTTTCTCGCTATTCAGTGAATGTACGTAACGTTTTTGTAATTATAAATCGTTATCATAGGGGTGTGGCCACTTATGGGTTTTTGTGTCTTACCGTTGGTTTTTGACACTAAAATCTCTATAAAATATATCATCATTCCTGTCATTATCTTTGAAAAAAACATAGATAACAATATATTCTAAACGAATATTTTGGTCTCAGAAATTCACGTTAAGTCTTTCCCACAGAAGGTAAGGCATCTAATGTTTGAATGTTAATGTTTTAAAGTATTAAGTTTTGTATTTTGGTGCAGGTTTGGCAATATGGTGTTATCAGTGTACTGCAGCCACGCCTGGTTGCAATGAACCCTTCAATTGGCGTGGTGTTGGTTATCTAGGGAAGCCTTGCCTTGACTGGGAAGATGTTTGTGTCAAATTGATAGAGAGGAAAGGCGGTAAGGTTGTCTTATCTTGAACAATTTTTTTAAATTCTACTTAACATACTCTTTTCATCCTTATTTTAAAAACAAAGTAAGAGGTATATTCTTTTGTTCTGTAAACCTCTTTACTCTGGCTTAGTCCATTAAAGCAGCTGAGCTCAATTTTTACCTGCATAGAGTTATGATATTCCATTTCAAGTTACAAACTGCTAGTCACCAGGCAGCTTACAGCTTGCCGATTCACGTAGTGATAGCACATTGCGGGTTTAAGCAAGGTTAAGTTATGAACCAGTTCAGAGTTAATTTACAAATGGCTAGAATTTTGTAAATTCATTTAAAGCTGTGCTATGAATTTGTAAAAAGCACAACAGACAGACTGACATTTATGATATTAATAAGGATTTTGTTTACTATTTGCTTTCACAGCACAAGAAGTAATAACAAGGGATTGTTTGAGCAACTTAAAGCCTTATAGAATGGATATACCAGCTGACACATATGAAGGTTGCAGATCGGCTGCTAAAGATGTTAACTTGGCTAATTATGTTAACAATACAATAAAAGAACATGATGTGAAAAGGTAAATTATAGAAAATATTGTGTTGTTTATCTTGATAACTTAATATTTTACAATCATAGAATTTGTGTTGGTGTTTGGTAACTTATTTGATAATGATTTCTGGTATACTGTATGTATGTTTGAGGTCTAGCTTGTCCAATAAACTTGTTTTGTTTACTTGGACCAAGTTATGAGTTCTAAATGATTTGATGTGAATGAAATCTTATTTCTTACTAGTATTATAAATGTTAATGTTTTGATGGATGGATAATTGTTTGGAAGACATGTCCAGGATGCCTTGTTGAAATTTGGCATAGATGTAATGCATAATATGTGGAATAACATATAGGCTACTAAGTTTGAAGTTTTTTAATTTTGCATGGTCAGAATTGCAGGAGGCTACCCTATATAGACAGGGACTTATTTGGATTTCTTTTTATCTAGTAAATGCAATATTAATATAATGAAACAAGGCTTAATCAATGGAAATAAATAAGGTAAATTTGTTATTTTCAGAGATTGGTACGATGAAACTATTTGGTGTTTCTGTTTCCTGGATCATCGGTGTAATGGTGCATCGGTTGTTACAAATTCATTTGTTGTGGTTGCATTGTCATGTATTGTGGTATTCACAAAACTTCTTTGATAGTCAGTCATGCACTGCAAATGACATTAGTTGTAAGGGTACAATAGAAGTTGCTTATATACAAGACACTTTATATACATCCAAATCTATATAGTATTAATAACCATGGGTTTATTGTCATAATATTAGTGAAAGAATATGTAATTTCTCTCATGGAAAACCAAGATTGCTTTTTGCATGTGTTTTGGTAATGGAAACTTTGAGGTTATGAATGTAATGTTTAACAGTTAAACATCTGTTATTTAATTTACGTGTTTTTTGTATTAATCTACAAATGACTAAGTTTTTATTGTTCAGATGTCACAGTGATTATGTGATGCATTTAATATGTACATTGTTGATTGTGATTTCTTTTGACATGATGGAGATATTATTTTATATCTGCAAATATAGGCAGTATACATATTGATATATATATTGAATTAAAAAAAACTGATACATTCCTTGAACATGATCTGATAAGTATAATTCTATTTAATATGTTTATTTTATATTTATTAGATGTATATATATATATATATATATATATATATCATATCTCATAATACATAATTATTACAATTCCGTCCAATGTTGTAGCTTTAAAATACTACGTGTACACTGTTTTTTTATAATTTAATTTTACTCTATTTTGTATGTATTTTAATGCAATAAAATAAATAGTGCTATAGTTTCAGATATGTTTTATTTATTCGGCCTGTATGGTTCTTTTTAATAATTATTTTCGTAACGCGTATCCACCAGTTTAATAGTATTCCATTATAATTCAAGACTTATCCTATACAGGATGTAACAAAATCCCCCCTCCCCTCAAACGGTATTAAAGGTAATTTTATATAGAAACACTTTAACAAATCTAAGTTAGGAATTTTCAAGAGCTATTGAATTTGATTTTTTATATTTTGTGGGACACCTTATTCAATTTATTTTCGCTTTAAAGTAATAACGCAAACTGCAAAAGAACAATCGTATATGTGGCGGTAATTGCAACTAAATTTAATGGTAGTTGACCATCCAGGCTGTAAATGTCGTAAATAGATATTTTCTTCTTTACTTCCAGTAACAGTAATATTCGTTTAACATTGTCCCTTGCTGCATCTGTAAATATAAGTAAGTACAATAAATGCTCACAAATTTAGGCTTCGTACCTCAAACGGTAATAAAAGGAACCCTTTTCCCCCTTCGTATCTTTTCTTACTAGTAATAATAAAAATTATGGACAAACAATTTGTCACGTAGTGAGGACACTACACTATATACAGCGTGTTCCAAAATTCAACGATAAAACTGTAATGAAGTATAGCCAGATCGATAACTACACGGGGAAAAATACAAAAAAAATACAACCCTTTTGGTTTAAAAGTTATAGTTACTTTTGTAACTTTTCTTATAATTTAGATACTGTGGCTACAAATATGAATATATTCCTGCAATTTAGTTTAGAGGAGCTAATACAAAATTTTTTTTTGTATTAGCTCCTCTAAACTATGTGTGTACCAAAATTTCATTTAAATCAGTCCAGTAATTTTTTCGTGTAAGGACAGACAGACAGAGTTAAATTCGCATTTATATTTATGTAAGGATTAATCATACCGTTGCTGAAACGCAGAATATTAGTGCAAAGTTTTCTAGAATCGCTTATTTTCAATTTTATAAATTCCACCGTAATACTCAACAATAATATAAATAATAATAATGTAACGACCGGAATTATGTTGATTATTGAATAAATATTAATAGACATCTGAAAATAACAAAAAAAAATACATTTCATAACACGAACAAAACATTCTGTTAATATAAACAAAACTCAGTGTAATACCTGTTGTTTAATAGTGGTGATTATACTCTGTATCAATATTATATCCAAAATAATAAACTCACAAGTCAGTCCAAAAATCTGTAAAAATTATGGGTACTTTTTATGGAACCAACATCAGAGCAGGTGCGGCTTATAAAGCGGCGGAAAATGCTAAAGCAAGCAAATACAGGTATCTAGGCTCCGAATATGATTTTGTAACATTCGGTTTCGAGACCCTCGGTCCGTGGAGTCCTAGCGCTGTAAGGCTTTTTAAGGAAAAATCAAAAAAGTTAATCGACATCACAGGGACCGAAGAGCTGGCAGCTACCACGGGCAAAGAATTAGTATAGCTATTCAAAGGGCGAACTCTGCCAGTATCTTCAGAACCTTGCCTAAAGGGACTACTTTTAATAATATATTTTAGTTAATTATTCATTTTTAATATTTTATTTAATATCATAGATTAATGACTCTTCATGTAAAATATGTAAATTTAAAATTTACTCTGAGAGTATATTAGTAAGTTTAAATATGGTATCGTTTTCTTGAAATAATGATGGAACTTACCGTGAACTGATGAACATTAATCAAATCATCCAATACATTGATAAAATCACGTAAAGTTATCAAAAGACGATTCCACATTTTTTCATCTGAATACTTTTCATTCATAACATGAAACGTTCCAGCTGTTTTAAAAGTGAAAATATGTCTATTGATTTTATCTTTTAAAATCGTAATAAAACATTCAAATCTTATTACAATGAAATACATATGAAAGAAAATCAAAATAATGTCCATGTAGTTGCCCAAAATAGGAAGTTCTACTATGAAAACAATTGAACAAGAAACTTTGTTATTCATCACATACAAATATAACACTATCGACCATAACACGCTACAAATAACGAATATTCCCACAAAAACTGTTGAAAGTACTGACATGCGTTTATTTAGTTTTATCGAGTTTTTGATACCAAGATCTGTGTCTATTTTTTGTAATTTCACATACAACTGGCTACTTGAATTACCATTGCAAAAGTTTTTAATCGTTACCATAGCTATTATTATGCCATTTAAAATATGACCCATTTTTAAATAGAAATCCGTCAGTATAGAATCAGTTGAAGATTCGCAATAAAAAATAAATATAAACAAAGACATTATATGGATAAGCCAAACGAATATGCTGAATATGTCGTATCCATATGTTGTTGTCGTTACAAATCCATATTTTATTTTTACTTGCAAAGTTCCGAGTAAATACTGCATTAAATGGATTGGTTTAAAAATTTGTACAAAATCATCGTCTAAATAATCCATTGACAAATTATCAACACTGATTTTAGTCATTGCAGTACAATATTGCTTTTGTATTGAAAACTGTTAAGAATATAGGTGTTCTCCAAAAGACAACGAACCACGAAATAATCTAAGCCCAATTAACTAAACTATAGGTTTTATCATCATTCATGTAATGGGAGTATAGTCTCGGGGGAATAAATCAGGGGAATCGAAACAAATTTTTGTAATGGATACAACATTTTAATTTAAAAACAAGTAAGATTTAATATATTTAACAAAGCTCACACGATTCTAATATTTAATATTTTAGTGTTTTTCATATTTTCTTTATTCTCTGTGGTAAAAACTTAATTCACAAACATGCCTAAAGAAGAGCAAACTGCAAAGTAGTAATAATATAAGTAGTGAGAATGTTAAAAACTTTTAGCATAAAGAATACATCCATTTGCCACATGTCGTAAACAGAGAATTTCGGCGGTGCCTCTTCTATCAATTTCAACATTTTTTTTGCTTTATCTCGCAATGGTCCTGAAAGAAGACACAAAAATATTTTAAGATAAAAAAAGTCAAAATACTGGCAGTTATTATAGACTGCAATTAGCATTTAAAAAACAAATGTGTGAATTTAAACACATGGTTAGAATAGCAATCAGAAGGAATATTTTAAATTTATTGCTTGTGCGCAATAATCTTATTCTGCTTTTTGCAAACGATCTTTCGCGGTTGATAAACTAATATAATTTCTAATGTTATAAATGCCAAACGGCTCAACGGCTCTCTTATCAACGGATTTTTTAAATTACAAAGTTACAAAAATAAAATATTCTTTTTGAAAAAGTGCGTCACGTGAAATAAGAAGATTTTCCGAAAAAAATCGACGGTCGTGAGTATAACCGTGTATAGATTATCAGCCGGCAGTTGAACCCTCAAGCTGACCCATCCTCTTAGGGTACCCAACTTGGCGACTTTCATCACCCTACGGGGAAAGTTGCATTGCTGAACGCTGCAGGACAAATAAACGAAACAACAAAGTTCTGATAGAACCACGACACGTTTGTGCCACTCGGTGCTACCTACATGTGTTATCGCGGCCAAAAGCTAGTATTTTATAAATTAATTAAGGTGCAATTTTAACGTACCTGTGTAATGAACGCACATTATCTTTGTGCATAACCTTTTCATTGTATCAACTTCATTGAAAAATAATTGATTCCGCACACATAAAAATGTACATATAAATATGTCGAATGTCGTTATGAAGGGAATTTGTATATAAATGTACAAATCTAATTCCTAAGGAGTTGAAGAAACTTTATTAATTGTGTTGTTTTTGTTTAAATATTACGCAAAATATAACCGGAGTATTTATTACCTTGTCTTGTAATGAAAGAAAAATTATATTAAACGACGTTAAAATTGTTCCAACCGATTTTATACAGTATAACAAAACCTGCAATAATTAAATGTAAAATTACTGAGGTAACCAAAAAAATATCGCATTTATAGATTTGTTACCTGAAATCTGTAAAGTTTTTGAAATTTACTATACGCATCTAATATTGCTCTCAGACAAACAAAAGTGTCCGTTGATACAAAATCGTGCGTTTTAGCGGCTATATATTGCATTCCATTTTTAGTTGGAAAAAAGCTTTCGTTCTTGTTATCATCCTTTTGTAAATGGTTTAATAGTATACAATTTAAAAATCTCAATCTTGTAACAAAGAATACAATCGTGTTCGCACAATGACTTATTTCAATTGCGAAGGTCACTTCATTGCAAAATTCACCCAAAAGTTCAATTGCATCTCTTACATTTTTGTACCATGATATTCCATATAGTAATACATATGACTTCAAAAGTAAGGATAATGTAAGAACATTTGTATGATATATAAATGAATACATACGTTTATTTCCATCAATATTCATCACACGGTCTACTTTTTGCAATTGAACTAAGAATTGCGAATTTTCATCAGAATTTACGAAGCGGACATGTATAATATTGCATATATATGAAACATAGCTTAGTAGCATTACACAAAAATACATATAGTAAGAATATGAATGGTTTGGGACTTTGTTATCATATATTAGTTTGTTTGTACAGATATATAAATATGTAGAGATAGCAACCAAAGCTATGGTATAAAATTTTTGATATTTAGTTGGTGCGGTCACGAATCTGTCTCGAACGTCCACTCTGCAGGATCCCAATACAACCTCGACACGACGATAACATCGGTAGATTTTTATAAAGTGCTCTTCTAAAATATCGTCAGAGAGATACTCGGAATTCATTATAACTGTAAATAGCAATAAACGATTTTACTTTAAGTGGCTTAAAGTTTAAAAGTTATCCAAAATATTTTTTTAACGTAAATTTAATTTTATTTATTAGCGTCTTTATAGAGGGAACTTTGTTACTTTTGAAACGTTAAAGTCAAATTCTCGATATTCAATGAATGTAACAAAGTCAAAAATACACATTCGTTAATTTGTCAAACATTGACGGGCAGTAATTATTGAAGCTCCATTAGGATATTACATAAATGTATATTAATAAGGCAATTTGGAATTACACGTCGCTATTAATATTTAGGTTAATTTGATAATGAAAAGTGTCTATCCATCTATAATCTACAAAAAAAAAACTAAAGTCGCTTCTATTGTCCAAGTGATGCGGAGTGGAAATAAAAAAAACACATTTTTCTATAACTTTTATTTTAAATTCAATTAAAAACTTTATAAAAAGTCTCGCATAAAAATTGGCTAAAACTGTCCTAGATAAGGAACTAACAACTGAGGGTACAACGAGGAAATAAAATGTACAGCACATGAATAATAGCATAACAGACTCACAAACAATCCAGTCTTATTATAACTATTCAATTTACAGGTTCACTACTATGACGTCATCGGACTAAAGTCTTGCCCACAAAGAGCACAAACAATAATATCTACTGATAAATAAATATAATAATTGCACCATTTTTCTTAACTATACAACTATATTATGTTCCTCCGATAACTCAAAAATTCATAATAATTGCCATAGTATTTAGTAGGCAAAACGTTGTGTTTCCTTGAATCCTAGCTTGTCTAAAGCGGGGTTACACGCGAAGTTTATCATAGGGGGAGGTCCACACATGAGCACAATCACGTCATCGGAGGCAGGGAACATATGATCCCGGATCATCTCCTCGTTGATGAAGCCGCTGCTGTATTTCCAGCCTGTGAAAATAATATTTACGTTAATACAATATTAGAAATGAAGGAACTGTTTCGCCTTGCACTTGATAGAACCAAATATTCAAAGTTAGCGGCCAACCTTTAAGACTGACGAGGCACTAGAAGAAGAATATTAAAAAAATAACTTTTATTATGGGAAAGTAAATAAGTCCATTTAATACATCATTGTGATATTACAAAATTTATTAAAATTAGTTTTTTTTTAAAGAAAAAGTAGTAAAGATTTAAAATTTAAAAAGAAGATTTGGCTAAATTGGTCCAAGCATTGTTGAGTTATGCGCTTACCAACACATTTTGCGATTAATTTTTATATTATGGAAGATAATTATTGTTTTTGGTTTATAATTTGGCCAAATCTTTTTTTTAAATGTTCGTTGTAGTTCAAAGATGGTTTTTACAGCAAGAAAAATTCGAATAATTGCCAGCAAATATGTTTGTTTGTGTCAAGGTATCCCCAGAACAACTGAATGGATCTCGATGACATTTGGCATATATATAGAACATAGTCTGGAAGAGTACATAGACTGCCGACGATGTCGCGGGAAACAGCTTGTAAATTATAATTGAAAATAACATACTAAACACTCTATGTGGTGGGCACCTAATAGGTTTTCATCTCAAATTAATCTAACAATCCTAATTTTCAGAATATCATACAACTAATAATGGTAATAGTTACCTTCTTTCGGTCTATCCAAGGTGTACCAAACTTTGAACTGATTGGGGTACTCTCTCTGGTATTTCTCAAGTTCATCTCTAAGAAGAATGTCATCTTCAGTCTGGTTGGCAAACAGCAATCTCATCTCCGTAGAATCTGACGGGTCTGTACAGATGTGTCTGACAAGTTGCAGCATTGGAGTCACTCCGGTACCACCTGGAAAAATATAATAAAGGCTTAGATAAAAAAATAGAAAATTTTACAATGTGGCCTATCCTTGTAAGTGCAGTATTAATATATTTCGTAATATATAATAATAAAGAGGAATAATTTGATTGTTTGTTTGCATTGAGCAGTCCCCGAAACTATTCAATCAATTAGAAAAATTCAATTACTGTTGAGAAGTTGAACTACCCCCGGGTGATTTCTTAGGCTATATTTATTGCTAGATTTTTTAATCCACAGGGACGAAGTCGCGGGCGACTAGTAGTGGGTTACATTAACCTAACAATGCTTCATATTATAATTTTTTTTAAATAAAGATATTTATCAGACCTATGGCCCCGAGTAATTAAACACATGATAAAATAAAGATATGAGACACCATATTAATTATATGTGATATAATTACCTCCTACTATCAGTTAAATAACTATATAAAGTATGCACATTTATGATAAAGATAATGATGACAAGAGACATATCAAGTCACTTCACTACTTTTGCCATATCAATGGCTCGTTTGCAAACTTTTACTGTCAAAACACATACCTCTTACTTGTTAAAACATTATTCTTCAAACTTTAAAAAAAAGTCAAGCAATAACCAAAAGATTCTTACCAGCAATCATGTTCAATTTCTTTGCTGGCACTCTATTAGGTGGGTCTTTCTTCAACTTTCTAATCAGGAAGATTCCATTGCCAGCATATTGCAGACGTCCCGATGGTCCTCGGAAATCAATTGTGTCACCAATCTTCATACTTTCCAAATACTGAGACATTTTACCACCATTTGGGAATTTCGGGTGGACATTTTTGAAGTACACCTGAAAAGTACATTTGTCCATTTAATATTAATTTCTACATATCAAAATAAGATTATTATAAATAATTTTATTTAGCTTTTATTTGACTACATGAACTTATCTGTTAGTCACAAATATAAATGATATATCTTGGAACATGATTAGTAATATGTTTAGACTTTGACTTGCTTGATAATGAAACATAGGAATTTGAAAACATTAGCTATTATATTGACAAAAATACGTTTTCTTTAACACTTAAATTCTTATCTTAAAAATTTATGTTACAAAAAAATTGTTAAATAAATTTAAACAAATGCAAATCACCTAGACTCTTGAGATAGTCTTGAATTACAAGTATCATACATTTAGTTGTTTTGGTTAATTTTTGAATAGTCTTGTTCAAATATGTGGCAAGTTAAATTTTGTTAAATGAGCATATATGACTTGGAAATAAATGTTTACATACCTTAACAACCAGATCAACATATCCCTTGTCATCATCGCTAGATACAGGAGTGTACGCCCTGATAACAAGGTCACCATCTACTTTGACAGATAAGTGTATATGCTGGCCAATTGGTAACCCTGAAATATTAAAAAAATTATCTTGTTGTCAAAACTTTAAGATCAGCATTATAAGCGACTCTTTATTTACTACTCAGGGTTACTTCATGATATGTATAATGGAATGGTTATTGCTAAGTCACAGATGATTTGACTAATTTAAATACAAGATGGAACACAAAAAAACTGCTGAATCATTTTTTAAACTTGTAGACCTTGAACCTTAGATTATGTGTTAAAATTTTAGTCATTGCGTAAAACTTTTTGATATCACTGGGGTATTTATAGATGTGCTAAGGTTTACATTTATATTCATCTAGAAAAAAATCAAGTATAAAATTGTTAATATGATTTATGATTTAATTTAGAGGTCTCAGATTGTCTGATATCAACTTTTATAATATTTCTTTTTTAAAATAGCTCATTGGTACATCAAACTTAAATTAATAAATGCTTTAAAAGTAACACAATCATGAAAGTACTAATTTGTCATTTAGCATTTTGCCTTGGTGATAATGTATAGTGTATGAGAACAATCAAACCACACATAAAAAAGTAATAATGGATGGCGAGTCATTAATCACTTACCTAAAACATGTTCTGATGAAGGTAAACCAAACCTGAATCTTCTTGTATCATGACTGATTTCTTCTCTTTCAATCAACGGCAATGGATACTTTGTGTCAGGATCAACAAGTGCTACCAACTTTTTAGCACTTTTCTTCTTTGTTGGTGCAGATTTCTTGCCCCAAACGCAATGGGCAATTACTGTTGCAACCACTACCACTGCTCCAGCTGATAATACTATTGGAAATACCTATAAGACAAATAATTTAATTTTTAGTAACAGATTTTAAATTTGGACATGTTCATGTTTGGAGTTATTGTGAATGTATTTGTTCATGAATAAAAATTATTAGTGATTCTGTTCATTTGTCAAATAAAACTTTCATGAGCAGCAACAGTTATCATAATTGTACTTGATTTATTCCATCATTTTAATATTTAATTTTATGTTATCAGATACATACTTGTGCATTTTCAAAAAAGTCCATCAAAGCTACTTTTAAATTGCCCATGATGTCACAAACACTTTAACTTAAGAAACACAACTGCTCACTTGCGATGCTTATGCGATAATGAGGCAGAAGTAATTGTCATTCACGACAACGACAACATTGACGATTCGGACGATCAACAAATTATAAGTAATTTTTTGCCTTGAACTCGCTTATCATAAAAAGTGACAATGATGATTGTAGGGATTTCTGTGTGTATCGTTATTTAAAGAGAAAGAAACGCCAATGTATGATGGAAGTTTTCACTAAAACGAATGAAAGGATTGACAGCTCGTAAACTATTGAAACACAACTGATTGAATGTAAATATAAGGACTTACCACACTCATCGTGTTAAACTAAATGTTAAAATGGATCTACTATACATTTATAGATATACCTTCTTACCATTTTTATCATTATCAGTGAATGATAAAAATTCATATATTGATTGTATTAATCATAGGATCAAATTGTTTCAAGTACATAACCTAACATTGATCAAATCGATACTTACATTTTTAATATTTGTGTTAGTAAACATCTTTAATAACTTTGTATCACTTGACTTTTTTTTAAATAAAAGACGTTATGTAAAACTGAACGATTATTTACACAGTTGGCCACTCATCTGTAAAATAATTACGTGAAACGCCGTGCTGCACAATGGTAATGTACGCTGACTCGCGCGGAATTTAATTTTAGTTTTCTTGCCGTCACTCACGAGTTATGAGAACAATTTCTAGCTATGCATAATGCATCTATTAATCTATATGTAGTGTTAATTTTTACAGTGTTGGTTTGCAGATGACTTAAGTAACAAGATTCAAGAAAAATATTGACAGACAAGTGTTGATAATCAAAATCATATCTAACAGTGGGTTACTGACACTAAAACCAGGTTTAAAACATATTGTTATTTCTGCTTTGTGAAAGATAAAAGATGAGATGATATATTTTATTGTGCTTTTATTTATGGGATAAACAGATGTAATAGATGATAAATATATTATAGCAGATATAATATCAGACTTCTCAGTTAACGAACCGAAAACCCGCGGTAAAAAAGTAGGCTCACTAATCATTACGTTAACGGTAATCTTTTTCTTAAATTACATTCAACATTTGAAAGTGTTTTTTTATATCATAAGGTGACAAACGTGCGAGCGGCCACCTGAAATCGTAATCTTTTCCTTTAATTTTTTTTTGCAATTGTAAAGTAACTTTCTCCTCTATGTAATATTGTAATTTTGTGGTTTTGCAAATTATCAGAGCGACTAGCGTATTTGAAAAATCCCAAAAAAGGTTTCACTAAGAGCTACGAGAAGCATGTGCTTTAAGAAATTATTTTCTTTCATTTTCTTCCTTAGATTGATTCAAAGATTACAATTTTACCAAATAATCTTCCTAATGTCGCGTCGGAAATAGTCTCCCTTGTTGTGGCTCGTAAATAATATAAATATAATAATATGCAATATCGGCTTATGTTTTATATATACAATGAAACAACATGATAAGAAAAGTTTTCTTTTTAATTACATTTTGTACAATTCTTTTCTTGTTTTAAATGAATTCATAAGTAGATCAAAATAATGACACAAATTAATAAGATCAAGTAATACTATTAAATTAATAAAAAAATATATTTATTTACAATACAAAAAATACAAGTAAAAAAACACGTAAATCTTTTTTAATTTGTATAGGCTTCATAATTTTTAAATACACATTGCTTAAATCCAAAATATTGCATTTTTAAAAGACATGGGCGTGTTATTTCGTTTGTCATTAATTTACTATTGTTTTTTAGGCACAATGAATTAAATTTATTCACTAATACGTATAATTTCTCTAATACTTTGCATAACACCTGTGACCAGAACAAATGATCCGAATACGATGAGCAATACGTCTTTAATTAGGATATAATTGTATTTTCCGAGACCTCTCTCCCAGCAGAATATGAGATCAATTAGTGACGGTGCTATAAGGCCTAAGAACGAGTAGAAGAACGCTCCTTCCAGGCCAATAACCTGTTCCAGACGAGGCAACGTAGCCGCTGCAATAACTGAAAAAGAAAACATATTTTATGTTTGTTTTTTTGACATGTTTTCCAATATACGCAACAGGCGACAGTTAGTTTTTACAAAATTTGAATAAATACATAAATTGTAGTCATCATGACAATAATGATATATAATATTTAGAATTTAAATTTTTAATTAACGTCGTGAGATTTTATGACATTTTTTCCCGCGTAATTTAAAATTGTAATGATGAGTAAACATTTTGGATATAAACACAAAGAAAACGAAACATGACTTTACTAATTTTAACCAGACACAATTTTTTAAATCGTTGTTTAAAAATTACAATATATTCTTAATCAAAATAAATATCGAAACTCAATAGTTTGTTTATTAATCATAGAAAAAATTAGCTATTCTAATAGAAGGTAGACGACATATAGGTCAACCTTTCTAAGCTATACAGACTTTGGTACAGAATATGGAAAACTTCTTTGTTCTTTATACATCTACAGATCATTTTTGAACTTAGTGGATAAGGCAATAAACTGTTAGGAAAATAACTTAAAACCTATGCACGTATAAAACTATTTTACCAGTAAGAATAGCGAACACAGCTCTCATGATAGACTGGGCAATGTTGTGGTATTTCTGTGAGACATGTTGGTTAGTGTTGCGCCACACTATCTCCATGGGCACGTAGAACTGCAGCGTGTACGTGAAGAAAATAGCTACGATGATGAAGCACTTTGCCATCAGGGCCGGACTGAAAATTAGGACAATATTGTCTATGACTTCTTATGATAACACTTAAAACGTAATTTTACATTTAAATCGAAGTATATAAAATAGAATACACGAATTCCTATGTAAATGTTGATGCTTACTTCTATCTGAAGTTGTTTAGTCTGGCAGCCAGGTGACTAACCGACTTAAATTAAACAATTTAATTTTAAACTCATATCAATTAACCGTTACTTTTCCTACTGTATAGAATTACGAAATTTGATTTCACACTTACATTTCTTTCGTAGGCAAATTAAGAGTAATGCTTCCAGCTGCCTCATCACCGTAGCGAATGTAACCCAGAAAACCCATGATCATGTAGAGCAGGACGACAATAGACATGGTGATGTTGAGTACGCCCGGGCATCCGAGGAAGTGCTGAGGCTTGGCCATTGTGTTCTCAACTGGCAGAACCACTCCAATTCCTTCCATGGCAAATATAACTGTACTGAAAAATAACAGAGTAAATCAGTCTGTTGCTTTTTAATTAGTTACAATTCCTATCTTGGACATAGATTGAGATGATTTTTAGATTTAGATGATAATGTTAATATAAGTTTTTCTTAAAAATCCGATTGGTTGTAGATGAGTCACTGGCAGGTGTTTACTTAATTATATCGAAAGGACGGAAAAGAAACGAGAAAGACGATAGACAGATCGCTACGAGGTTTCGGTTTGCAAGAGAAACTTATTTCTTACTCCGAGTTACTGTAATAGGGACTGAGTAACTTGACTTACCCTATAAATAAAGGTAATCTCCCGATGTCGACTGACATTGGTCTTGAATCGATACTCGGAAAGTCTTCACATATGTAGTACAAACAAATAAGGAAAGTCGCGACTAGCAAAATATTGGCGAATCCAGAAAATGGTGCTAGATACTTTAAATTTTTGATCTGTGTGAAGATTAATATCGGAACCAGAAACATCAGGCAGTATATTGTATCTGTGAACTCATTATCTTCGTAATAATATAAAACAATCTGCAAAAAGAAAGTTCAAAATCAATAACGGTCTTACTGAGACTTTCTTCGATAAATTTTCATCCACTTCCCATCTCTTTTTCACAAGAAATTTGTGGCACGAGATGATCATATCAGATCAATTTTTTACCATAAAAATGTACGTTGTGTCTCAGTTAATTGAAAGGTATCTTCGGTTCAAGAATTTCAGGTTATTTACGTTAAGGTTTTAGTTACCGAGCACAATAGCGCGTAAATTTAGAATCGATATAAAGTTGTCAGACGTCCAAAATACCTGTTTCACTGATTCCACCAGCAATATGACATAGACAGCGCAGGCGCCAAGAATGGTGAACGCCATTGCCCAGTCTATAAATATCCTGAAACACGTGTGAAACATTTGTTCATACAATTGCTTTTAACATGATCAATTTGTTGTTACAAATATACAAAGTAACACCTTGTTATAATCGAAGCATGCAATTGATTTCGCGTATATTTTTGATTACTAATTTAAAGTTTTTATCAAATATATAAGTTTGATATATGTAGAAAAATTAATGACAATGACTTTGGATTCTCGCTGGACCTCATGTCAACTTTTTTTTATCTTAAATATCATGCTTATATGTTTTTAGATGATCAATAAAAGTCTATATAATTACAAACGAACAGGAAGGCGCCGAATCAATTTAAATCAATCGCCAAATATTTCCTTATCACGTTTGCGTTTGTAATCTTTCTATCAATATTATTACGCGGTGACAAAGTACCTATATTGTAGTCATCAAAAGAGCTAAGAATATTTCTAATCATTATAAACGTACAATAATTTATCTAGTATACATATTACCAATATTTGCAAAATTTAAATACTCATAAAGGATGTTAAAAGTTGAAAGGAAAAGAAATTCAACGAAATATTATACATTATCATTTTACATAATAAAACTATAGTAGTAGAATAGTATAAATCATTATTAACCTCGCTGTTTTAGATAATTTTCTTAAAGATCGAGGACCTGTTGCAAATACAGCCTCAACAGTTTCTGCGTAGCCAAGGGATGGGACTTTTGAGACTCTTGCAACATCCTGTGAAGTCTTTACCTGTAATACAATGTATAGTAATTTCAGTTTTAATATAATATTTTAATAGAGTGACATTTTATAGCCTAGGGCTAAGACAATAGAAGCTCAGAACTAGCTTAAAAATTTAACAAGCTTAAACAAATTAAATAATTTTAACAGCTCTTCACAGTCCGTGTTATAAATAATATTAATTACGAACATTTTGTGTTCTTTTGGACGGGATCCAGTTGAATAACGATTGCCACTGTTTTCTGTATATATAGACGTTCCAATTCTGGGCGTTAATAGCCTTTATTCTGCTAAATACCCACTTTCAAAGTGGACACGTTGAAAAGTTCAAGGTTGTTTAATTAAACGACATATTTATATAAGATATCTAATTACGTATTGAGAAATCAAACCCAAAATGAATTATAGGATTATATTTAAACCAATTTAATCCTCTTTACTATCATTCTTGACAATTTTTGTTTAGTAGGTTAGATAGATATTTACCAACAAATAGACGCAGTGTGTACAAATGTATCCCAGTATGATAGTACCAAAAACGCCCACCAGAGTACCGGCGTTTTTGAAGGCAGCCGGCATTGCTAGGATACCGGAGCCTAAAGACGACTTTAGAAGATTGGCAAACGATCTCACATCACTGTAAATATAAAAAAAAAACAATAAATGAATAAGAAAATCGAAAAGTTTTAAAGATTTATGTGAACTTAAAATAAATCTATGTTATTCTACCATTGTTTTTACATCTTTCTTTAGTAGTACCGTAGTTTTTAGCTTGTATTTTGGACATAAGAATGATTGATATTTTAATGACTAAAAACAGTTGCTGAATATTGTGTTCCTATGCAATAATGATGATGACTGATGCAACCCTAGTACAACATCTATTGGCGATGTTAAACATTTGGTTATTAGTTCTTTTTTCATTTGTTTCTAAATAACTAGTTTTCATTTAA